GGGCTCATATTTATTTTTTATTAGTTTAATTTAATTCTAAAAAATGTTATTTTTAAAACATTATACTAAAAATATACTATAACTAAACTAAATAAAATTAAATAATATATTGCAACCCAATTTTTATTTTTGAATAATATTTTATTATCCCGTCAATTACATTAATAATGAATTAAAACAACATCTTTTTTATTTTACTACCATCAAAACTTAAAATATCCTGCTTTTTAATAGTAAATTATTAAATAATTAATACTATTTTTATAGTACTATTAAAACGAACGAAAGAAGACAAAGAATTAACACCCCTCCCTATTGTTATGCACTCTCTAATATCGGGAATATGTCCTATAATTTCGTATAAAGTATCAATAAACTAAAAACAGCCTTCTTATATTCCCACGTCAAAGTAGATGATAAAAAGAACTTCTTTCAATACTTGGAATCAAATGAATCATAACGAACGCTCTCTTAAAGTACTGTTACTTGGTGAGTCTGGTGTAGGGAAGTCTGCTATTTGTCACAGACTCTGTAAAGATTCTTTCACTGATATTTATACCTCGACAATAGGTGTTGAATACGCACCAAAGGTTTGAAATCAATTTGAACATTGACATTACAACAAAGACTAACACGTAGTACATCGACTTAGAAAACAACACATTGAAAGTCCAACTGTGGGATTCGGGTTTGTTATTACATACCCGTCACTTGATTACGGGTTACAACTGTATTATTATATTCATATATTTGTAGTTAAATTGTTAATTTATAATAGTTAATATGTTGAGGTAATGAAATAGTAATATTTATTATATATTTTAATTAAATTGAATATAGTAAAAAATATAGTTTAAAATAATTATTTTATAAAATAATTGATATAGTTTATATTTATTATATTGAATAATAAAAAAACTAATAAAAAGCGGGACAAGAAAGATTTAAAAACATCACACGTTGTTATTACCGCTCAACGAATGGTGTGATATTAGTCTTCGACATGACACAACGAGAAAGTTTTAACAAAGTTGTGGAATGGTACGACGATGTGATGAGCAAATCCGAAGGAAGTCGTCCAGTCGTGTACATTGTTGGAAACAAGAGTGATCTTTCCGATAAAATCTGTGTGAGTGAGAAGGAGATTGACAAATTGTCGGAACGACTGAACTCGGCAAAAACATTTTTCTGCTCTGCAAAAAGTGGTAAAAATGTTATTGCAATTTTTAGGCAACTCGCTGCAGATATGGTGTTAAAAGAGGAAAAAGTCTGCTTTGAAGAGCCGGAAACGGTAAATGAAAGTACATGCAGGCTAAATGTTTGCACTATTGTATAAGATGAAATTGAGAAAAAATGAAATGGTGCGATGATATTACTTGTTTTTTGTTATAATCATTTTTTTATAGGGAGAGGTTAAACTATTAATTATATTATTATTAAATTATTAAATATAGTTTATTTTTTTGTTGAGATTGATATAAAAATAATAAAAATTAGTTTAATAACTATTGATTTAAATAATTTTGCTTTTACTATTCATTATTATATATATAAAAATTTAATATATTTATTATACTATAATTATAATTTATATATAATAAAATTACAAAGTAAATTAATATTAATAGTTTTTTTTTTAAATATAAAGGTTAAATGAATATAGTCAAAACACAAAAAAAATTAAAAAAAAAATTAAACTTTACTTTTATTAAACAATTACTTTGAACTGAAAATATCTTTTTTGAGATAATGAGTAAATTAGACTCATACAATGCAATGATAGTTTCAAAGTATTTTATTACAATCACCGACTTTATAAACTTTGAATTAGTGAATCACAAATTTTTGGGCAATATGCACAAGTTTCACTACAATCCAATATCTCTTTCTCAACGAGATCTAATATATTTTCCCAATATTGAATCACTCCATCTCTACAAAACGACAGATCAAACTTTTCCTGACAAAAACTTTTTTCAAAAAATTTTTTGGTTTCCCGTGCGCTATTCGTGCACACAATTCAATAATTACAAAAACGAAAAGTGTGGCGAAACGAGCAGTACCAATATTACTCCAAATCTCCCCAAAAATGTTTTTAAAAATGTTATTTATTATTTTGATGATGCCGCAAGATATGGGGCAACCATTCCTTTAGGAGTTCACCGCATAGCCCAAAACTGTTTTAGCAACAAATTTCAACTTGATTGTTGTAGCATGCCTTCCACCCTCGTCGCTCTCGATCAGAGTTGTTATCTAAACTGTAGTAATCTCTCGCGAATAACATTTTCTAAAAACATTTCTTCAATTGGAGATTATTGTTTTTCTCGATGTACAAAATTGAGCGAAATTGTTTTACCGGAGCGGATTACCATATTGGGTCATAGTGTTTTTCTCGGATGCTCCGGTATAAGTCGGTTCGTATTTCCTAGATATAGTGGGAATTTGCCCCCAAATTTTTTTTGTAAATGTAGTTCACTCCAAAATTTTGTTATTCCAGAAGAGGTGACGGTGATTCGGGGATTTTGCTTCTATGAATGTGTGGCCCTAACATCAGTGCAATTTCCCCAACAAATTCGGGAAATTGGAGATAGTGCGTTTCACTCATGTCAACAATTGGAAGTAATCACGTGGCCACAAAACGTGCAACAAATCGGGAAAATGGCTTTTTATAACTGTTTAACACTTAAAGAAGTCACACTTTCAAATAACATTTCTTTGGAGGAAAAATGTTTTCAATCGTGTTTATCACTTTCTTCAATCACATTTTCACAAAATTTAGTTTCAATTGGGAAGTCATGTTTCAAATACTGCTCAAAATTGAGTTATATTGAAATACCAGACTGTGTTCAAAGTATCGGGGAAGAATGTTTTAAACAATGCGATTCGCTTTCTACTGTCGTACTTCCAAAATATCTTAAAAATATTACCAACGCTTGTTTTTCTAATTGTTATAGTTTAAAAACTATAACCGTGCCTGATAAAGTAAGTGAGATTGGTGATCTGGCATTTTCTTCGTGTAGTTTGCTTTCAAGAGTCGTTTTGGGAACAAGTGTAACTTTTATCGGACACAAAACTTTTGAGAAGTGTTTAAAATTGTCCGATATAAGTGATGTTCAAAAAATCACATGTTTCGAGGATTCGTTTCTGTTGTGTCCATTTAAATTAAAAAACTTAACTAAAACTAATGAGAATAAGCAGTGCAAGATTTGTTAATTTGTATTATTATTATTATTATTACTATGGTTTTTATTAAACTAAATATACAAATCAAGAAAAAATTGGTATTAAAGGAAATACACTTTCGACTGTCCTATATATTTAAATTTTTATTAAAAACATAAAAAAATAACTCAATTGTAATTACAATTAATTTTTTTTAATAATAATGTAATCAAAAATAAATTTACCGAACTTCCATTTCTAACGTATTAATATCAAAAGAACACACACCAAAATCGATTCAATCTCAAAATCACTCATTTTGCGTGTCGGAAAGAGACGCGTCTTCATCTAAAATGCTCTGGATATAAGCCTTCATATCGATAAGCATTTTTCTTGTTTTTATATCGAGTCGTTTTTTTCGCGGTTTTTCGGTTTTTGCTTTTTTGATCTCGAAAATGTTTTCATCTCGAATTAATGGATTTTTTTTCATCACATTTTTGCATGATTTAAACTCGCTGTGATTTAAAGAACAAAGCGACGTGTCTGATTCTGAGCTCGAACTTTTATCGTGACACCTTTCGATTTCGAGTTTTGGACTTTTTGAATTCAAATGTTCGAATTTTTCAAAATTTTCGCAAACATCAAAATTTTCTTTTTTTGTTGTTTTTAAAAGTTCAATTTTTTCGGTTTTTTTCATTTGTGTTGGCAAATCGCTTTTTTCTTCAATCTCCATTTGCTGTACCATACTTATTGGTACATTTTGTGATTTTTGAACGTTATCACTCATTTTTTGTAAGAAAATTTGTCGACTCTCTTCATTCCATTGTTGTTTCAAAGGAATAGTATTTATTAATTTAACTTCTAACGGTATTTTTTGTTGACAACTTCGTTTTGAATTGGGAGATTGAAAATTTGATATTGTTGAGGTTTGGCTTGCAAGTGGTCGATTATTAGTTTTTTCTTTTGATGATTGTCTTGAGAGTGTTAATCGTTTCTTATTATAAAAAAAATTCTTTTGATAAATTTCTTCGATTGTTTCGTTAAAATTTTGAATAGGAATTTGGGACTAATTATTAGTTTTTTTAAATAATAATAATAATAATAATAATAATAATAATAATAATAATAATAATAATAATAATAATAATAATAGTAATAATAATAATATATAAATATAATAAATATAATTTAATAATAATATTACTATACTGACATATTTATTAGTATGCTATTTCATAATTAAAATTTATTATAAATGTTAATTAAAATTATATTAATAAAATATAATTACAATAAATAATAATTTATTATAAAAGTTAATTATCAATTCTAATATATTTAATTATTAAATTTAGTATTTTATATTATTAATTAATTCAACAAACCTTTTTCATTTGAACCATTTTATCTTTTTTCCAAAGAGCAAACAAGACTTTCGACATAGATAATGGCATTTTATTTTTCTGCATTTCTCCGATCATCTGATAAGCAATTTCGTTAGATTTCAAAGCCAATAAAGCTTCTTTAAACACCACAAATTGTGCAACATAAGAATCCACAATACAATATTTTCCACTCACATCTCTCCAATATTGAATTGGTGTCATCCCACTTTTAAGTGCGTTTTCATATTCAATTCGAATGTCTTCGATCTGTAATAATTTCATAATCGCTCCAGTCGTCGCTGGTGTCTTCAAAAAGAAGCGAAATGGGTTCTCTACAAAGAACAGTGCGATGGTCAAACAATTGACGTGTGACGTGTCAAACGACTCCGCAAAATCAATCAAATTCTTTTTTTCGACTTTCTCGTTTTGCTCAATTTTTTGTGATGAAATTTCGACTTTGTCAATTTTCGACATTTCCGATTTTTCTAAATCGATTTTTTCGTCTTCGGAAATTTGGTTTAAATTGAAGACTTCGACATTGTCAATTTTTTCAATATTTTTCAATCTTGTCAACTTTTCTTGGAATTTTTGCGACGACGTCAAATTTGCGACTTCGATGAAATAATGGCCGAACCCGGCGTACTGTGCCGGGGAGATTTTCCGAGTCTCCAATTTTGCTTTTTCGACGAGGAAATTTGAGAAGTGTGTGTTGACGTAGACTGGATTTTCTGAAGAAAAGTGATTGTCGGTGAAGGTTGTCGGGATTTTTTCGTTGAAAATGATAAAGCGACAATTTTTGCGATCGATTTTTAACGACTGAAGAACTTCGTCGACAAGAAGTTGTGTTGATTTTGGTGCGTTTTCGGATTTGATTTTTTGAAAGGCGAGAAGGCAGGAATGAGTTGTGTAAGACAGATCTGCATAAACTGCGATGATTGTCAAGTTCTTGGTAGTTCGTTCGACGACTAAAGAATATGAGGTAGTGTAATGAGTCATTATGGCAACTTGTGAAGACTGAAGGGAGTCAAATTCGACTTGCGAGAAGGTTTTGGCGATGTCGAGAAGTTCGTCCATTCTGTTTTATTATATTTTTCTATTAATAAAATCGAACAGATAAGAAGACTTTGAAATGACAGAGGGATGGAGAGATGTTGTAGAAAATTAAAAAGTGTTTGGGTGATGTTATAAGAACTGAATATTATTTCAAGGAATACATTTTTTCTGAATTTTTTTAAAAGAAGAGATCTTTAAAGAGTTGAGCAATAAAAGTTTATATAACAAATTATAGTATCCTTATGTCAAAGAAATGTATGTTCATTGTATCATCAATTTATGAGAGTTATATAATTTAACCCAAAACAGTAATGTTACTTTGCTCTGTATTTGATAATTTTGGTATATTGTATATAATATATCATTATAATTATTTAATCATATAATTAATGGCAAAATGTTTAGACAACAGTCGAAATAATTATTATAATTATTAGATTTGGATGTTAATATCAAAAATTGATAAAAATTATTAAAAACGCTTTTTTAACACATTCCACACAGTAAATAATCAATACAAGTCACTTTTTGTAAATATCACATTTTAAAAAGTTTAAATTTTGCTTAACACCTTGGATAACATTGAATAAAATTCAAGTATTTGAATAAGGGATAGACTACTTGAATTATATTTAATCTCATGTTTATTAAATAAAATTCAAAATTTTTAAAGTATATATATCCTGCATAACATTAACACTTTCACAATTCAAAACTTTTTTTTAAGAAGAAAAATAAGTAAAAAAGGAATTGTCCAAATCATTTTTTTATTATTTTTATTCAAAAACCCTTTTCTAACCCAAACCGGCCAATAGTCAGTTTTATTTTACTTAAAATAATTAACAAATGAAAACTCAATTACCTAAGATTGGTCAAAAATAATCTTTTTGGATGAAATTTCATATCGCTTTATCGTGTTACGACATTAAAACAAAAAACGCTACATCGTCAATCCACTTAATGACAAACAATGTCAAATAGTCACATTAACAAATATAACGACAATATAAACACCAATATCATTATAACTAAATGACAATATTCTCTTTATAAAAAAACAATCAAAAATATCAAACCATCATTAGACCCCATCTTTCTTTCTAATGCTTTGCTCTTGTTTAACATAAATAAACTCATTCATGTTTATTTGTGACTATAAAATATACAATTCAAAATTGAGTTGATAAAAAAATAAATAAAAATTTTCAAAAACTTGTTTTGTGTATGAAGGCAAAAAAAGGGTTAAAGGGG